AAACACATTCCAAAAAGAAATTCACAGATTAAAAAAACTCAAATGTTGAAAACAACATTTCATGTAATAAGACAATGAAAACAAGTAGGATTAGCTATCCTATCTTCAAACAAAGTAGACTTCAAGCCAAAACCAATCAGAAGACTGAAAGAAAGTCACTACATTTTGGAGAAGGAAACAATTCAACAGAAAAAATAACAATTATAAACATATATCTTCTGAACAACTTCATAAAACAAACATCATTGGAAAAAAGATCAGATAAACATCAATACAATTAAAGGGGGGGACCTGGGGACCTCAGTACCCCACTATCACAAATAGATCAACTAGACAAAAATTCAACAAAGAAATATCAGTCTTGGACCAAATTTTGAACAAATGGAGTTAATAGGGAAACAACAGAATACATTCTTAGCATTATATGAAACTTTCTCCAAAATAGCCCACATTGCTAGCCAATAAAGCGATCTTAAGTAAATTCAAAAGAATTGAAGTTTTACCATTCATCTTTTCAGATTATAGCACAATGAAATTAGAAATCAATGGCAAAAGACATGACAGAAATTTTGCATGGAAGTTAAACAACACATTCTTGAATAGACAGTAGGTCACAGAAGAGTTGAAGGAAGAAATCAACAGTTTCTAGATTGAAATGATGTTGTCATTACAACATACCAGAAATTAGAGGACAAAATAAAAGTAGATGTAAGAGGGAAATCTATTGCTATGAATGCCCACATTAGAAAAATCAGAGCAAGCCCAAATAAATAGTATAATAATGAATCTGAAAGTCTTAGAAAAATAAGAACAAATCCAAAGCTAGTACAAGGAAAGAAATTACAAAGATCAGAAAAGAAGAGAATAAAGTGGAAAAATTGAAGAGTTGTTGTTTTCAAGAGAGTAATGATAAACTCCTAGCCAACCTTACCAAAATGGGGGGGACAAGTTGATGCAATTAGAAAGGAAAAGGGTGGAATCACAATGGATAGTGCGGAGATCCAGAAGATCATTCACAACTATTTCACAAACCTGTATTTCAATAACTTGAAGAATTTAGAAGAAAGGGACAGATTCCTAGATACATACAAATTACCAAAACTTAAACAAGAAGACACAAATATCCTGAATAATGCAGTACTCAATAATGAAATTGAAGCAGTAATTTTTAAAATCTACCAAATAGTAAAGCCCATGTGAAATGGATTCATTGTAAAATTCCAAGAACTTCAGGGAAGATCTACCACCAATTCTGCTCAAGCTCTTTAATGAAATTGAAAGGAAGGGGTACTCCCAAAGTCATTACTAGGAGCTAGTATTACCCTGATTCCAAAACCAGACAAGGATCCATTCAGAAAGAGAACTATAGACCAATAATTTCTTTAATAAATATAGCTGTAAAAATCCTCAACAAAATACTCACAAATAGTGTAAAAAAATCCTCAAAAAGATCATACATCATGACCAGGAAAGCTTCATCCCAGGGATGCAAAAAGTGGTTCAACATAGGCAAATCAGCAGATGTGATATATCACATAAACAGATGCAAAGACAAAAGTCACATGATCATCTAAGCACATAAAAAATGACAAAATCTAACACTCATTTATAATAAAAACCCTGAAGAAAAAAATATATAGAAGGATCATATCTCAATCTGATCAAAGCCATTTGTAACAAAAATACTACCAACATCATATTAGGAAAAACTGAAAGCTTTCCCTGTAAAATGAAGAACAAGACAAGGATGTCTGCTATAACCACTCCTGTTCAACATAGTCCTCAAAAAATTACCCAGGAAAATCAGTCAAGAGAAAGAAATAAAAAGGATATGTATAGGAAAGGAAGAAATCAAATCATCATCATTTTCAGATGATATTATCTTCTATAAAAAAAATCCCACCAAAGACTCCTAGGATAAATAACCAAATCCAGCAATGTAGGAGTATACAAAATCAACACACAGAAATCAAGAGGATTCCAATTTACCAAAAAATGAACTCACTGAGTAAGAAGTTAGGAAAACAATACCATTCTCAGTAGCATCAAGAGGAATCAAATATTGAACTTAGGAATTAACCTAACCAAGGAAGTGGAAGACCTCTACAATGAAAACTACAGTATTCTGAAAAAGGAGATTGAAGAGGACATCAGAAAATGGAAAGATGTCCCCTGTTCCTGAATAGGCAAGAAGCAATATTGTCAAAATGGCAATACTTCCAAAACTGATACACAAATTTAATGCAATGCCAATAAAAATACCAATAGCATTCTTCACAGAATTAAAGAAAACACTCCTAAAATTCATACAGAACTAGAAGAGACAGAATTACAAAAGCAGTCCTGGGTGACAAGAACAAAATAGGAGGCATCACAATTCTGGAGTTGAAGTTCTACTACAAAACTATAAGAATAAGAAAGCCTGGTACTGGCACAAAAACAGACATGTGGATCAATAAAACAGAAAAGAGGATACAGAAACAACCTCCCACATACATTTAATTATTTAAACTTTGGTGAAAGGGTCAAAAACACACACTGGAGGAAAGGGCTTCTTTAACGGTGCTGGAGAATTTGACTATTTACATACAGAAGATTGAATCCAGGTCCATTTGTCTCACCATGTACTAAAATTAAATCAAAACGGATTAAAGGCCTAACTGTTAAAATGGGAATATTTAATCTGCTAGAAGACAAAGTAGGTAAAACTCTTGAAGACATAGGATAGGCCAGGGCTTTCTTAACAGAACCTCGATGGCACAAGAAATAGTACAAGAATCACCGAATGGAATCATAATATCAAAATAAAAAGCTTCTGAACAGCAAAGGCAAAAAACCAACGGAGTGAAGACACAACCTGGAGAATGGGAAAAAAAAAGTTGCCAGCTGCACCTCAGACAGAGGAGTCATATCTAGAATGTATGACAAGCTCCACAAAATTAGAGCCCTTTCCAGTAACAGACCCAATCAAAAATTCGGCAGTTGAAATGAATACCCACTTGCCATGAGAGGTACAAATGGCTGGCTAATGAAAATGAATACGTGGAACATGTTCGACATAGCTTGCCACTAGAGAAATAGAAGTTGAAACAATACTGAGTTTCTATTTTATCACCGAAAGAATGGCTACCATCAACAAATCAAACATGATCAATGCTGGAGAGGCTGTGGAGGAGGAACCTTTCTCCATTGTTGGTGCAAATGTAAACTAGTGCAATCACTATGGAAATCACTATCAATGTTCCTCAAAAGCTAAAACTAGACTTCTCTTCAACCCAACTATTTCCCTTCGAAATCTTCCCAAAGTGTTAAAGACATCATAGTTCGGTGATTCGTGCATACCCGTATTTATAGCAGCACAATTCATAATAGCTAAATCTTGGAAATGACCTATATGTCCTTCAATACTTAAATGGATAGAGAAACTGTTGTATTGTACATAATGGAGTACTACTCTGCCATAAAGAATAAACCTAAGTCATTTGTAGGAAAATGGATGCATCTTGAGACCACAATGTTAAGTGAAATAAATGAGACAGTGAAGCCTAAATATCACATGGTTTCTAGATAAGAAACCCAAATATAAATGAAGAGCAAAATAAAAGATAGATAATAAGAAGTAAGGAGATAGACTTTTCTCAAATGGGAAGGGGATCAAAGGATGGAGGGAGAGAGGGAGGGGATAAAACAGAAAACTGAGACAGATTCTGTACCTGTACCAACTCCCCACCAGAGGGATCTTATGGAATGCAAACAGGTACTAATAAAAATAGAAGATGAAAAAAAAAACCCTAACATATATACAGCAAACAACAACAAAAACAAAGTAAATCATACAGATTGCCAGGCACGGTGATGCATACCTGAAATCTTAGCATTCTGGGAGGCTAAGCAAAAGGACAGGAAGTTGAAGCCCAGCCCGGGCAACTTAATGACGTACCAAGACCAAAAAAAAAAAAGAAAGAAAACCAAAAAACAAAACAAAACAAAACAACAACACACACACACACACACACACAAAAAAAACCACTGTGGGTGTAGCTCAGTGTGAAGATCTTGGGTTCAATCCTCAGTTCCAAAACAAAGAAAAAAATAATAATCAAGTAATGTGGTCTGCACATTGAACAGGCCTCACAAAAGAACCAGTGAATGTACAGTTCCCAGTGCTTTGGCTTCTGCAGGTGTTAGGATGGAATGTGACTTTCACACAAGCGCCCAGGTAATTCTGATGCTGTTTCCCAGAGACTGCATTTGGAGAATTACTGTATTTTGCCCTGTTTGTACATTTGTGGTGCATTTTAGTTTGTGTATTTGACCATCTAAGCTGGGTGTTAAATTATACATTTAAACACTCTTGTATAATTTAATAACTAATTTTTGAGCCCCTGTGGTGTGCCAGCTGGATATTGTGTTAGTCCTAGAAGCTAGTTCTGGGGAATGAGATCCTTTCTGACATTTCTCCAAAGCACTGGGAAGGTACCGAGCACAAAAGTTCCTGGGAAAGCGGCTATCTATGCATCGGTGAGTAACATCCGGTGGGAGAAGGCCAAACCCGACTCTCACCGCATCAGCTTGGTTTAGGGTTCTTTCCCACACAGGCACACACATACACGTTCCCTTGTGTTAACTGACCTGAAGGGAGAAAACTGGACCATTTGGAATTCTCTGCTTTCTTAAAAAAGAAGTAAACATCTTCATTATTCAGTGATTTAGTTAAATTTTGGAAAGGTTTTCATGAGGTTTATTCATCCTTATACCAAGAGAGCCTGAGGTTCTTGCTCTGCAGAGTGACTGGGGACTCTGATTTGGGAAAATTCCCTCAAATTCAGTATTTGCAAGTCAGATTTTCAAAAAGAAACATGGGGAGAACCGGGGAAGAGAGAAATCAGGTTGAAAATTAACAAGATATGTGAAGTGAATGCATTAATTTCCCCAAATGAAGCTCACCATTCTGTATTACTAACATGCACTAATAAATAAAAACCAAACAGCTCACAGACCGAGGGCATTGCCCCATGTGGAGACTCAGGTTGCTCTGCTGGAGGCTGGACCCCTGTTGCTCTCCTCCTCGCTTGGAAACATCTGTGTGCTTTCTCCATTGCGTCCAGATGAGCCTGCTGACCACCTCCTCTCTCTTCCTGACTGGACAATAGTTAATTATTGTTATAGCTGATGAGGCTTTATGATGTGTGCCTGACCCTGCTGCCACCTCTGTGAATGACCTCACTGGAACCAACACACCTGTCTTGCCCCAGGGCCAGGTAGCATTGCCTACTGCAGAAGGAAGTATGCTAAATTAGTTACCTTTCCTGCATCAAAGTAAGTGTACCTGGATCCCCCCCGCCTCTCTCTCTCTCTGTCTCTCTGTCTCTCTCTCTGTCTGTCTCTCTGTCTCTCTCTCTCTCTCTCACACACACACACACACACACACACATCAATTAAATGGGAATGGTAAGTAACGAATGACCCAAACGGCATTTCATAAAATTCTTTGATTTGACCATTATTGACACATTGTTTCCAAATTTTATGCTCTTGTATCTGTTTTTTTCCTTTGTTTGTCTAACTTGGGCTTTTTGATGATGTTGTTTTCGAACTGGGGAATATTTACTACTGACCTTTCTATTCAAAATACATGAAACTCTAGCACTTGAATCCTTCCTAAGTGTGTGGTGAATGTAAGAATGGTGTGGTATGCTGTACTAGCGTGGGTAGCTGCCCAGGGTTGGAGAAGTTAAACAGAAGTAAAGAAGGAGAGGTAATAGCTGGAGCTAGGGTTCTTAGGGGACTGTCAGGAGAAAGGCTAGGGATGGAGTCTGCCGACCAGTGAGGTTTGGAAAAGGCAGACACAGATGGGCAGGAGCAATAATAAGGGTCAAGGTAAATGTCAGTCAGAGGCTCAAGATTCCCCTGAAAAGCAGATATCAACTCACTGGTGTGCAACAATGGGTCATGGAGGTTTAACTCAAGCAGAAAACACACAGCCAGTCTCATTCTTCTTCAAATGGAAAACAAAGTCAGCTCGTACAGGCGGTTGGCAGTAGGCAGTAGGGCAAAGGCTGAATGAACTCGGTCCTCCTCATGCATGTTAAGGGGTTCATGAGCAAAGAAAATTCATGAAGCTTGCTAGATAGAGCTCAAGATATCAGAGACAGCAGAGAGAGCCTTGAGAAAAATCTCCTCTTAGATAATGGTGATTAGAAAAAGACAGTGGGAAAAATCCAGTTCAATTAGGCAAGTCATAAAGCCAGGTTACCTTAGGACAAACACTGGAAGAATTTTAGAAAAATGATAATCTTCTATCTTATATGTCTCTTTATGGGTGAATGCTTTTAAACCTAGATGTGCTATTCAGCAAAGTTGTAAAATACAAATTGCTTCTTACATCAGTTAAATCTTGACATGTAACAAATGATTCGAAATCTTAGTGGCATATACAGCAGCCCTGTGACAGTCCTCACGTACCTAGATACAAGCAGGGAGTTCTGCTGTCCTAGGGTAGACCGGCCTCCTTCGTTTGCTCGCCTATCTGGGGTAGTTGGCTTGTGGGCTGGAAGGTGGGAAGTGTCAGAAGGTCTCAGGAGTATGAATTGAGTTCCCTACATTTCTGTCGCATATTCTTATGGTGGAATGTTCTCCTGGTGATTCTCCACAGGAGCAAGAAAGAGCAAAGTGCGCTAACCTTTCTCAAACTCTGCCTGCATCCAGTTTTCTACTGTCCTGTTGACTAAAACAAGTCATACGAGGCCAAAATGAGTATGAGAAGGCAGTAATGGGGGACTTAGGTGACTAACAGGAACCGTTAGGCAATCTATTTACACCTACTTTTTCAGTGTAGAATTGTAAAACTTTGGAAATTCTGAAAGCTGTCTATCTCACTATTTCATCTAGAAAAAAAATCCTGCTATATTTGTTCTTTGTCATGCTCTGTAATTATCTATATTTCCATTTTCTCAGTTATTACATGACGCATATTTTTACAAGCTGTTAGTACTCTTAAGCACTATGATGTTTTGGTTTGGTTTTGTTTGTTTGTTTGTTTTTTGTGCCAGGGATCAAACTCTGGTCCTTGAGCACTATGATTTTTTGTAAGCCTGTGTAACACTGTGGTTTGCTGTATTCCCTTAAACATTTTCAAATTATGGAAACTTTATTGTGTACAAGATTTCTCCCTTTGGAGAGTTGTTTTAACTGGAAATTAGGGGGTCAATCATTCTTAAGATTATTGGAGCCTATTATAAAAATGCCTTCCAAAATACTTGTTCTACTTTCCATTATCAATTGCAAAAGCCCTGCATCCCTCCCACCATGTGGATCGCCTTGTTTGATTAGGTCGTGCTGATAAGTTACTTCCAAGGGCCATGGGCGGGCAGAGCACTCAGTAAGTTAATTCTTATGAAGAGGCAGCACAAGGTTCGGTTTTAGTTAAATTCTGCACAAATGTTAATGAAACTCAGTATTATTGTGCTAATTTGATTGCATGTGGTTATTTGGGTTTGGGTTTAAGTGTTGTTATAGCTTCTTTTGCGAATCATCTTTTCATTAACTCTCTTTTTTTTTTTTCTGCTATCTTATTTTCCCTCATTGGGGTTTTCTTTCTTCTGCTTCCCCTACTGGCTTCTACTTTTACATTCTATTTTATATGAAAAAGACTGCATTTTAAATTATCATATAATTTATAAGGAAATTGCCCTGTATGAAGCAAACTAAATTACTAATTTCTGTGTTCTCAGTTTTCCACAATAATATTCATGAAAGCAGCCTAAGACAAAAACTAGGATCTCCAAACAAATACCAGGCCAGAGATACCTTTGCTACTTTTAAATGTGTTCATTTTCTTTTCTTAAATTTTAATTATTTTTATTTTATAAAAAATAGAATAAAATTTCATAATCAAATAAGAGAATAACAAAATAGTTTTCACACCGTGTATTATCTTTAGTTACTCAGAGTACAAGACACAAACCAAAAAGATTCTTACAAAGAAAAGACAGTTAAATTACACAAATCTTTCTTTTAAAAAAACTCAGATAAACTAGTAGTGTAAATAAAACCAATTAGCACATGTATTGAAATGTTTTTACAACAATGGAATTGGTAGTTTCGGGAAGTATTTTAACTTCTCTCTATTTCCTATTATCTATCTTCTATTTTGTTCTTTGTCTCTCATAGGAGAAGCCACATAATATCTGAGCTTCTGTCTGCTTATTTTACTTAACATTATTCTCACATCGCATCCATTTACCTACAAATGCCTCGCATTTTTCTCCTTTCGGCAATATAGTTCTCCGTGTGTATGAATGCCACACTTGAATGCTTTATTTTGTTGGTGAACATAAACACTGTTTCTAAGATCAGGCTGTGATAAATTGTGCCACCACAAACACAGATCTGCACTCAACCCTGTAACATGATGCTTTTAATTCTTTTGGGAAGACACCTAGAATGAGGAGAGCTGGATCAAATGGAATTTCTAGTTTTAGTTTTTGAGGAATCTCCACACTGATTTCCATAGTGGTTGTACTATTTCACACTCCCACCAACAATTGTAATTAGCATTAGATTTGGTGATGGTGTCTGGTGTAGTTTAAATTTCCTTTTCCCTGGTGGCCAGTGATGATGGGGCACTGCTTGGTGTATTTATTGGCCATGTGTACTTCTTCTGATAAGTGTCTGTTCATTTCAGTTGCCTATTTTTGATTGGGCCTTTCATTCTGAGGGTTCTAATTTTTTTTAGTTACTGATATATTCTTGATGTTAGTCTTCTGTCCAAGGAATAGCTGGCAAAAATGTTTTCCCATTCTGTAGATTGTATCTTCACTCTGTTGGCTGGTGTTCATCTTCTTATCCTTATATTTCCCCCAAATTACTGAAATTTCTCTATTTCCCTCAATTTGCAGTGATAAAGTTTGCCCTGACCCATCCACATAGATCAGACAATGGTCCACAAGGGCATCCACCAATTTTCCGCATTTTGGGAGGGCCGTGTTGGCTCTGTAGGGGTTGGGGTGACTTCTGAATTGATAGGAAGCTGTAATTGTTTGTTTTATCAAGAGTGTCACAAAACACTAGAATTACTCTATGTGGGGAAAATAAATGTCTTCTTCTCTCACTTTGTTTTATTGGCAACAATTAAGTTGATTTAAAAATAAATCCATGCTGCCTCTATGTGCGTTCCACACACAAACATTCGTAATTGCTCCCTGAGTGTAATGGCCTAGATGTTAATTTTAGATAGTTGAAATGGCAAGCTATATATTTTTAAGCCAGCGAATCATTTTTAATTAATGTCTATTTGTTTTAATTTTGAAGCTCTGCTGCAATAATCAATAATGGAAGTTGAAAGCATGTGCCATAGTGACAAAATTTATATATTCGTATGGGCTGTAAATTATTTGTGGACTATTTATTATGATTTTTTTTAGAAATATAAACAGATTATTATAAAAGATACTCTGTTCAGTTGGCCTCTGATGTCTTTCCACAGGTCACCAAAGTTACAGTTCTCCTTCAGTTTTCTATAAAAACAATTAACCGGGCAATTTGAAAAATTAAATAAAAGGGAAGCATATCACTAAAGGAAAATGAACTTCTGCTAGTGAGCAGGATCATCCAGGCCTTATTTTTTATTTATTTATTTATTTTTGCCATAATCGGCTGCTCAGAGTCACACAGACAGCAGAGGGAACATTTGATTTACAGTGATAACAGTGGATTTAACAAGGGGGGAAGGGAGTTGAGAGACTACAAAGGCATAATTGTAACCCTGGGTGGTGGAAAGCAAACCACATAAGAAAGCAGAATGAGAACAAGAGGGAGTGTGGACAGTAGAAGACTGCTGAGTTCTCTGGATAGGAGATGCGTGGATGGAGCCGTGCTACCAAAAAGACAGAGCTGGGTACAGAAGACAGGAGGCAAGAGAGATTTTATATATAGCATAGCCACTGGTGATAACAAAATCTAGGACCTAATTAGGGGATAGAATAGGATGAAAGCAATTTTGTAAGATGGGGTATTGAATGGAAGATCTATGTAGATGGCAAAATCACCCTAAAAAACAAGATCGTGTGTAACGCCTATGAGAAAGTCATTAAGCCAAGGGG